TTGCCAGAAGCGATTTGAACTAATTTACATAAACTCTGCTTGTCAGCTGTTTAGACAAATAGCATGGGAAATTCAAAGTGACGTCACATACAACTTCTATTTGTCTTGAGGGTTTAAGGTTTAGGGTTCAGGGTTCAGAGCCCTGAACCCTAAACCCTAAACCCAAAACCCAAAACCCTAAACCCTTTAGTGTTTAGGCTTAGGGTGCCTCGAGCTCCGTTTGCCTGTGCGATTTTAAAACTAAACCCCCCCCAAATTCAGGAGGGCGAAAATTTGGGATGTTCCCCCTTATACTAACAATCCTTCATAGGAGGGTTTAGGGTTTAGGGTTTAGGGTTTAGGGTTTAGGGGGTTTAGGGTTTAGGGTTTAGGGTTTAGGGTTTAGGGGTACTACAATCAATCCCCACTAGGGACTGTTAGTATAAGGGGAACAGCCCAGCGATCATCTACTATTTTGTAGGGTTCCGGAGTCACAGGTGCGGTTTGGGGTTTCGGGTTTAGGGTTTAGGGCTTGCCCTCACGAAAACTAAAAACTAGGCTCTCAAAGAAAAACGTTTCGGTCAACACTTTTTCAGGACCCAAACCCTGTACAACTTCTATAACTCCTGACCCCTAAACCCTAAACCCTTAACCCCTAAACCCTAAACCCTAAACCGAGGCAAACCTGGGGCGCCCCGCGGCGCGCTCGCGCGGCGCGGAGCAGCGCCAAGGCGTCGCGCCAGCGCGCGGCCTGCGTGTAGGGCTTGGGTTGCGAGGGTTGCTAGGGTTTAGGGTTTTGGGTTTGGCAGTTTAGGGTTTAGGGTTTCGGGTTTAGGGTTTAGGGTTTAGTGTGTGGAGTTTTGGGTTTTGGGCTTAGGGTTTAGGGCACGCTGCGCGCCCTCCAGGTACGTGGAGGTTCAGGGTACTTATTAACCCTAAACCCTAAACCCTTAACCCTGAACCCTAAACCCTAAACCCTGAACCCTAAACCCTAAACCCTAAACCCTAAACCCTAAACCCTAAACCCTAAACCCTAAACCCTAAACCCTGCCATTCCCCCGGCCCCGTGGCCTCCTCGAAAGCCGTCATGCCGGCCACCTCTGCTGCCTCGTCGACCTTGCCACTCTCAGTTTTGGGGCAGCCTGAACCCTAAACCCTATAAACCCTATAAACCCTATGCACCCTATAAACCCTATAAACCCTATAAACCCTATAAACCCTATAAACCCTATAAACCCTATAAACCCTATAAACCCTAAACCCAAAAAACTCTAAGACCTAAGACCTAAGACCTAAGACCAAAGCCCTTAACCCTATAGGCCCTAAGGCTTAAAAAAGGGTCTTTGGGTTGTGGGGTCTTAGGGCTCATTCGGGGTTAAAGCTGAAGGGTGTACAGGATAGGGTGTGGGGCGTTGGCTTGGGGTGTAGAGTCTAGAGTTTGCGGGCTTTCCTGCTGTTAGGCGTAGATGGGTTGCAGCCCTGAACCATAAACCCAAGATGTCTGCTTGTGTGTGTGTGGGTGGGTGTGGTTTCGGGTTTTAGGGCTATTTTTGGGTTTTTTTTTAGAGTTTAGGTTCAGTCAGGGGCTGTGGAATCACCTCACAGGCACAAACAGCTACAAAAGTTTCTTACCGTCACGTTTCGGTCGCAGCCCTTATCCTCAAGCCCCCCTTTAACTACATACAAGCCGCATACAAGCGACTTTCGAAACTGTAGCTTCTTCCTGGACTGGTGTTTCGAGCTAAGGACTCAGGCTTTAGGGGCTCAAGTTGGGATACTCCCCCTGAATCCCTTCACCCTTTCATTAAACGTACCCGTAAGAATAAAAACGCTTTCCGCAAATTCCTGCCGAAACCGAAAGCTAAACCCTGTTCCAAATTAGGGGGGGGGGGGGGGGGGGGGGGGGGGGGGGGGGGGGGGGGGAGATTTAGGGCTCCCAAACCCTCAAGCCAGCCAACATCCCGAAGGTTTAAGTCATGACCACTCCAAAGCCTGGAGCCTAGATCCTACACCCTTTGGACCCCAAATATGACATTTGGGTAAACGCCTCCGCCGAATATTGAAAACACATTTCGAGTTTCTATTGTGGGGGGGGGGGGGGGGGGGGGGCGTTTGATATTAGGGGGAAAGGATTATACTAACAGTCCTGACTAGGGATTACAGTAGGAGATATATAATCCCAAGTAAGGACTGTTTATAAATGGGGAAAGGATTGTACTAACGATCCTGAATAGGGATTACAATAGGAGGTACTATACTATAATCCCAATTAAGGACTGTTTATAAATGGGGAAACATCCCAAGGTGCAAGGCTTACTCAGGGTTGACTTGGTTTCTAGTTTCACACCCCAGGTTGGGCAATTCGAAGGTCGGGTTTAGGGTTTAGGGTTTAGGGTTTAGGGTTTAGGGTTTGGGGTTTGGGGTTTAGGGTTTAGGGTTTAGGGTTTAGGGTTTAGGGTTTAGGGTTTCAGGGACCCCGACCTTCTCCCGGGAGGCCAATAATAGCCCCGCAAGCTGCCTGGCAGACGCCCAGAGTTCGACAAGGATGGGTTTGGGGTTTAGGGTTTGGGGTTTAGGGTTTGGGGTTTGGGGTTTGGGGTTTAGGGTTTGGGGTTTAGGGTTTGGGGTTTGGGGTTTGGGGTTTAGAGTTTGGGGTTAGGGCTTGAGGTTTGGGGTTTAGGGTTTGGGGTTTAGGGTTTGGGAAAACCCTAAACCCTAAACCCCCAAACCCTACAGCCCAAAACCCTAAAGCCAAAAACCCTTAACCCTAAATCCCCAAACCCTAAAGCCCTAAACTCCAAACCCCTAAACCCCCTAAATCGTCTGAACTCCCCTGAGCTGGGAGTCATAGTCTGGTCTGCGGGGCCCTACAACCTCCAGCGCCCCTAAACACCTCACACAGTATCGTCCTTAGCCTTAAACCTGTGGTAAACCCTATCTAATTCTAGTTACATGTACCCTTCACAGGGGCCCGTAAATGGGGACCCCGAATATGCGCCCCATGTACCCTTTACAACCTTTGAACATACTTCAGAACCCTTTAAATCTGGTAGGGGACCATATTTAGGGTTGGGGTTTAGGGTTTAGGGTTTAGGGTTTAGGGTTTAGGGTTTAGGGTTTAGGGTTTAGGGTTTAGGGTTTAGGGTTTAGGGTTTAGGGTTTAGGGTTTAGGGTTTAGGGTTTAGGGTTTAGGGGTTAGGGTTTAGGGGTGAGGGGTTAGGGTTTAGGGTTTAGGGTTTAGGGTTTAGGGTTTAGGGTTTAGGGTTTAGGGTTTAGGGTTTAGGGTTTAGGGTTTAGGGTTTAGGGTTTAGGGTTTAGGGTTTAGGGTTTAGGGTTTAGGGTTTAGGGTTTAGGGTGTAGGGTTTAGGGTCCCTGACAATCCCTTCAGCCCCTAAAAGACGTAAAGACCCTAAAGCCCCAAAACCCTGCAAACCCTATTAAGCCCTGCAAGCCGTAGAGGCCTTCTGAACCCCGCAAATCCTACAAACCCTGAACCCTAACTATCCCTAAGTATTCCTAAAGGGCCATGTAGGAGGTACTTTAAGGCCCAGGTATACCCCTACAGCCTGAACCCCTCAAACCTGAAACCCTAAGCCCCAAACCCTTGAACCCCAAAACTCTCGGGTTTCGGGTTTAGGGTTAAGGGTTTGAGGCCCAAGTACTCCCTATTTAGGTACATGGACCCATGTATTATGAACCCTGAACCCCAAACCCTACCAAAAACCCTCTCTACCCCGCGAGCCCTGAACTTCCTGAACCCTGAAACTTGAAACCCTAAACCCTAAACCCTAAACCCTAAACCCTAAACCCTAAACCCTAAACCCTAAACCCTAAACCCTAAACCCTAAACCCTAAACCCTACACCAGCGCGCCATCGCGCAGCGCGGCCGCTAGCAGACAGGGCGGCGTTGCACACCTGCCCAAGTCGTGCAGGTTGAGGGTTTAGGGTTTAGGTTTAGGGTTTAGGGGTTAGGGTTATAGGGTGATAGGGTTATAGGGGTTAGGGTATAGGGTTATAGGGTTATAGGGTTTAGGGTTATAGGATTCTAGGGTTTCGGGGTTGCAGGGTTTTTGAGGGTCTTGGTACGCGAAGCCCCCAACTGAAAGGGTTCCTGTCTTCGAGCAACACCTCCCCGCACGAAGAATCTCGAGGCGCCAAGCGAGTGCTTGAGGTCGCCAGTTGAATGGAGGGTCTAGGGTTTATAGGGTTTCGGGTTTAGGGCTTGAGGTTTAGGGTTTAGGGTTTGGGGTTTGGGGTTTGGGTTTAGGGTTTAGGGTTTGGGGTTTAGGGTTTAGGGTTTAGGGTTTGGGGTTTGGGGTTTGGGGTTTGGGGTTTGGGGTTTGGGGTTTGGGGTTTGGGGTTTGGTGTTTGGGGTTTAGGTATCCTCTGTAGGTTCACAGGTTCCGGCCCTGGTCTTTAGCTACGCGTGCTGCACCCACACTGAAACCCGTGAAGCTGCGCCGCAAAGGCCCCCAAAGGCAAGCCTGGAGTTGGTTTACAGTTTAGCTACAGAAGGGCCTGAAAGCCCAACTGTGCCCGGAAGCAAAGGACGCTGGAAGCCAAACCGTTCAGGGTTAGAGCAGGGGTTTAGGGCTGACGTAGGTTCCCAACCCCGTCTGCGCGTGTGTTTCTTAAGGGAGGAGGGGTAAACCCGAAACCCTAAACCCTAAACCCTAAACATCCTTAAACCCTGAACCCCCTCAGCCCAGGTCTTCTGTGGTGCGCCCGCCACTCCGACACACTTTGCACTAAGAGGACCTCGAAATCCAGCAGCCCGCTCATCCCAAAACCGTGAACCCAACAACCCTGGGACCATAGGGTTGAGGGTTTAGGGTTGAGGGTTTAGGGTTTAGGGTTTAGGGTTTAGGGTCCCCAACAACATAAGCCCAAGAACTCGGTAGCCCTAGAACCCCCTCAATCCTAGAATGAGAAATCTTTGCTGTTTG